ACTATGTGATCCTTTCCTGCATCTTCAACATGATTTTTTCAGGAATTGGTCTCTTTGTCTACAAATTTGGAAAAGTCCGATTGGGCGCGTGTAGTTGAGAGGTTATGTGATCTTGCTGGTGTATCATCTCAAAAAGAAGCAGTTCAGGAATTATACGCTAAGTGAGTTTGACACTAATAGCTCTTAAAGCTTTTAAACCTTATCAGATAAGTTTTAGAACGAGAGCAGCTATGATAAAAGGTGGATTCTCGTCAGATATTGCGCCACTGTATACATTCTTGATAGTTTGTCCGGTGAGTGCTTCCTTTGTTTTCATTACACTTGAGCAGCGTTCAGACTTCGCGATGACGCGCGTCGACACGCTACCATTGCAACCGCGCTGCAGTGCTATAGACGGGAACGCAGACATAGACGCGTTTCGGTCGACGTCGGCCGCCAATGTTTTGAGAAGGGGGCACCAGACTGCGCGATCAGGTAACGCCTACCCTCCAATTCGTCCAAACTCGATCAAAGCGCTAGCGGCTGACTCGATCGACACTCGTCCGGACTCCTTTCCCGTCCATAACATTAGAGCGCTGTTGCAAAAGTAGCGCGTCGAGGCGCGTTACAGCGCGTTACAGGGCATCGCAAAGTCTGAGCGCTGCCTTGGATTACCTGCGGTGCTCATTGTTGTCTATTCTATGAGAAAATTAGAAATTAAAAGATTCCATTTCTCATGCTCTACCCAGCCTAGTGTATTCATAAGTAACTATCTTAGGATTTAACGACTTTCCCATGGGAAGTAGTTCCGATATTCGGCGACAGCCCTTATGTAGCTCGTATTCCGTCAGTACACGCTCTATTCCAAACACTTCGCAAAAGCACTCAGGTACGTCTCTTTGTTTTGACTTCGTTCCTTGGTTTGAACTTGAGCTTCTAAGACATGTTCTGCGATTTTCTGGAGAAAAAGTTCTTCTTCCCTTGGTGACCAAGTCTCCAGCCGCATTGGATAGGAGTTTTGGTGCGCTACTTCCCTTTTGCAGCGAAGAACAGTCGTTTTCGCTGCGAATGATGGGGCGTGTCAAGAGGGGATTGGGTTTGGCGCACTATTAGCTCGTTCTCCACCCGTTGTTTAAGGGAGTAAGCGGCAACAGTTGGTGGAGAACGGCACATTCGAATGGCATGAATACAGTCTTGTCACTTGCTTGTTTTCAACGAACAGGTGAGAGAACGATGCCCCAAACCCATTCTTCCGTACACGCCCGTATCGGACGACGAACGCGACAAGACTGTAGGCGTAGCAACGCGGGTGGACGTTTCGCGAGTGCATCTGCACTAGAACCATCTCTCTCAGGCGTGGCAGGTGGCCGCGCAGCGTCCCTATTTCCCGTGAAATCAAGTCTCTCTCTGCCCTCAAGGATTTCTTCTCAACATCAAAAGTGCGCTTACTGCCGATTACACGGAGGTTTGTGTTCCATTACAAGATGCAGCTCTCTTTTCTGGTCCCTCCCGCGCGCAATGTTTCTTCGCTTCTCTCTTTTCCGTGTGCTTGTCCAATGTTTGAAATCAAATGCGAAAATGGGGACCTTCTTCAGGACCTCTCTGCCGGTTTTTTCTGGCTGCTTGCTTCGCTAGCTAGTCTATTGTTACATGTAACTGTACATTGGTGGTGTAATGACAAGTGGCACGCTTACCACATAGGCCAGTGCTCATGTCCCGGATCGGCTCCCCTCAGGCCATCCTATCCCCGACTTCTACTGGAATGTGTCTTCAAAGAGTGAAAGCTAACTTTTGGCTTTGTTAAGGTGCCGGTTGAAGTGAATGTTCACAATGCGTTTTATGTGCTTGACCCTGACAATAACTTGGGCGACACAAGAAGACGTATAACGGATTACGTGTCCAAGTTTGGCTGGGAAGGAGTTGTAGGCAAGATTCCTTCGATAACCGAAGTAACCGATGCTTTGTCGCAGAGGGATGTGTTTTTGTGAGTGTTTTGCTCTATTTTTTTAATTAAACTTATAGCGCAATCCGGCGGCGAAGGGGGGGGGGGCATTTTGCACCTTATCTACCTCATATCGACCTGTCGAGCCATCAAATGGAGACCTGCGAATTCTTGTGGAGCCGCGAAATGGTACAGCTAAGTTTGCTGAAACCACCTGTCAACTTTTGTAACTCACAAAAGTTGACAGGTTTCAACAGTGTCAGACTTGTAAACCGGAACTGGTGAAGCAGCGAAAATGTGAACGTTTCCCCCCTCCCCCCCA